AAAGCCGGCGTCCGCGCTGCCGGCTCCCCCCTCGCCTCCCCCTGGCATGTGACAGGGCGCTGCCGGGCGGGCGGGGGGGAGCAGGCAGGGCTCGTGCCGCCGCACACGCCCGCCCTGCCCGGGGCGCCGCGCCAGGGCTGGCAGCGGGCAGCCACAGCGGGTCGGAAGGTTTCTGGGACGTGAGGGCTCCACACGCACACACACGGGAACAAAGGGACGTGGCGTTTCAGCCCTGGGGCTTTGTGTAGGGCCACGGGGAAGGGAAGCCACCAAGAGTGGGGTTAAATATATATACATATTCTGGCCTAGCTGCCACAGCATCTCCCCTGGAACACGTCCCCGCAGAGGCAGGGGTGAGCTGTGGTGTTGTGCTGCTCCTGGACAAACCTAAAGCCACATCCCTGAGGCAGTCCCTTGTGCAGGGCCGGACACAAGCATGGGCAGAAAGGGGGCCCGAAAATGGTGAAAATAAGGATTATTATTATCACTATCTCTGGCGAAAGGGGGGGGGGGGGGGGGGGAGATTGATACTGAAAGCTTGCCTGGGGCCACCAGAAGTCTAGGTACGGCGCTGTCCCTGTGCCTTGTAACCCAGGGAAGGCTGGTTAAGAAGGCTAGAAGTTAAGATGCAGAAGAATCTTTTTGCCTGAGATAATTTTGAGTTTTAAAGAACGCAACGTTTGCCTGGAAAAAGATTAGCCTAAAAAGCCATTCTGATATACAGCAAATGGATGGTGTCTTTTTTAAGTACTTATATCGCCTTTCATAGCTGGATCACAAAGTGCTTCACAGACAGTGATTCCTGGCATCTCTGTGGTAGGTAAGAAGTGCAGGGGGGAATAGTAGAACCAGCTGAGATTTGAACATGTGTGAGAAATAGGGTGCAATCCCTATTAATGCTTCAGTGGGAAAAGGACTGTATGAAATTATGCATACTTGGTGCTTCATGGCTGAAAAGTTAACTTATGCCTTTGTATCCTACCATTTACTGGGTTAGCCTGTAGGATTTTCCAGTATCTAATTTTGGCCTTGTGCTGCAAATCTGCAGTGCAGCAAACCTTTTCATGTGCACTGTGTCCATTTTGCAGCACCTCAAAAGCTTTTGAGGTACTGCAAAGTGCACGTTCCCACTCGTGGGGATGCGGCCGCTGGGTGAAAAAGAACTTCCTTCTGCTAGTTTTAAACTTGCTACCTACTAGTTTCATTTTATGACCCTAGTTCTTTTATTATGAATCCTGATTGCAGGATCCCAAGCCTGTAGCCTACAGGTGTCACCCAAATGTACGGAGCAATGTTTAGTCTAGTAGAGAGATGGTAAGCAGACAAGAAGCCTCATTTGCCGTGGGCTGTTTCCATGATTTTCTTAGCCTTACTGAAGAGTTTGATCTGATAAACAGACAAAGATAAACTTAGCATAAAATCTCAATAGTGATGAGTAGAGATTAAAAGATGTGAGGAGAAAAGGAAGATAGGTGGGATTTCAAGTCTTTTGGCAGCCCTTATAACTCTGATTTAAAGAGCAGTTGAGTAGAAAAGAAAATCCACAGAAGTACACTGAAAAAAACTTCTCTTTAAAATGAATGTAAAATATCATTTTAGTCTCCTGGCCAAATCACACTTTCTAATGCTTTGATTTGGTGTTTTTCTGGGCTGTTACTGTGTGAAAAGCCCGCACAAACAAGGGGAATGTAAGAAAAACCATAGAAATGACTGTACACAAAGTTCTATCAGATGCTCCAAATAAGTTAAAATGCAGAAGAATCTTTTTGCCTGAAATAATTTTAAGTTTTGAAGAACACAATGTTTGCTTGGAAAAATATTAGCCTAAAAAGCCCTTCTGATATATAACAAATTGATGGTGTCTTTTTTAGTACTATATTGCCTTTCATAACTGGATCACAAAGTGCTTCACAGACAGTGATTCTCAGCATCTTTGACGGTAAGAAATACAGGGAGGGAACAGTAAGACCAGCTGAGATTTGAACATGTGAGAGAAATACTGTACAATCCCTATTAATGTTTCAGTGGGAAAGAGGGAGCTTTTTGAAAAGGACTGTATGAAATCATGCATACTTGGTGCTTAATGGTTGAAAAGTAAATTAGCATATTCCTTGGTATCCTGCCATGCTGGCACTAAATCCAACAGTAATCATATGACAGAAGCTAGAGATGGAAATGACCTATTAGGTCACCTAGTCCATCTCTCTGCCAGTGCTGGATTATTCCTTTTTGTGCATTTACCAGTGTCCTGTCTGTTGAGCTGCCTGTAACAAAACAACATTCTAGTACCTGTTTAAAGGCTCAAAATTATTTCTGATACAGTGTTTGAGTAGAATTATACTAACTATGGGTAAATTTGTGTGCATTTGTTTTACTCTCTCCAGCATATGATGTAGCAACTGTCTTAGCTATATTACATTGCATTGCCTGCAGACAAATAAGCCACATTTTCTTTCTTTCACTTACGCTCTTATATTCTTAGTTTTTAAAGTCTGTTTTCGATTTTATTTGGCAATAAATGCCCTTAATTTCTAACATGCTACTTGCATTTTTGTACCAGGCTTTTTATGCTTTATTACATATTCCTTATTTCATTCAATTATGCCCAGGCTTTTTATTCTTTATTACATAATCTTTTTATTCTAGTGTACCACCTTTTAATTTGAAAATCCCCTCAATCTTGTTCTTAGATGTTCTTTGTGTTACAGGAATGTTCACAGGCCCAGGCAAGATTGCTGCTTCGCTGTAGTAGGTGCAGTAAAAACACGCAGAAATACATAGTCCCTGCTGCAAAGAATATACAGCCTATATTGAGCTGTAGGGATGACAGTTATATGTACATTAAATTTCTGTAGGTTGACAGATGCAATTGAGCATGCCTGGTATGTGGAGGGAGGGAGCACAAGAGGGCAATAAAACAGCAGGAAAACTAATCCACTGCTTTATCTGACATCCACAAATTGTTTGCTTTTCCTGCTACATGTCCTTCTCCCTTGTGCCACCCCTGCAGTATTTAAGTCATATGTCAGCTATCAAAATGTTAGCAAAAAACAACATATTAGCTACTCCCATAACAAAATTTTGCTTCATTGAACTCAGTACATTTGCCAGTGACTTTCTTGGGGCCATATTTTACCCCAGATATGTTTCTTTTTGGAGATACCCTTGCCATGCTCTTAGAAATATGATGAAAGAATGAACAGAAGAGAAAACCACCCTTTAAAACCAAAGACAGTGGAAGGGAATGCAATGAGAAATTGCCCATGTCTTTTTTACTTACCACAGAGAGCTGAATTTGGTTCAAACACCAGAAGGACACTGAAGGTATGTTTCCACTGTGGCCAAATCCAGAAGGTATTTAGGCACCTAACTCTGTTTTAGGTGGCTAAGTTCCCATTGATTTTAATGTGAGTAAATGCTTATAAATGAGAGTTGGGTGCTTATATACCTTTTATCTGGATCTATGCCTTCTGTGACTGCAGTGCACTATAAATATGTTCAGATGAGCTTCAGAGTATCTGGTTGGGTACAGCTAGCTGTGGTTGCTGTGTCAGCACAAAGCTCCTCATGGCCTAGTCACTATTTACCCTGCTTCTTGTATTGGTTATGCAGACTGCACTAACCACAAGCAGAAGGCTACTACTACCTACTTTAAAAGTAGCTTAAGTCTGTCTCTGCTTCAGTATACTGACAAAGACTGCAATGTAGGCATGTTGGGAGATGGAAGCACGGGGACAAATACAAGTTCAACAGCATTTTGTAATAATGACCTAGTAATGAGTATTCCTTTATGAATGCATTCAGAAGTAATTAAGGCTTAGAACTGAATTACATGTCTTTATAAAAGAGTAATTTTAATGTGAAAAACCTTGATATTTAGCTATTGTCATACAAGAGTTTCCATACAGTTGTATCTTGCTGAATTTTTTCACTTGGAGCTAAATGTCCAAGGTATTGAATTGTGATAAAACTAAATTAGATATTTTAAATAATTCCTAAAGTTACATCATTTCCATTATTCTACCCCCTCTCTACTCTCCTCCATCTCACACAAAAGAAGCAGCATCTCTTCCTTGTCTAGGAATGTGTTCTCAATGGAACATGTTTTTTGATGTATATAGGATTGCATGTTGTATCTAAAATTATCAGAGTAGTATGCTTTAGAAGTAGTTCAAAGAGACTACCAGTAATGGAAAATACGAGGGACAGATCAGCAAAAGGCCCTATAGAAGAATGTTTTGAAGGACTAGTATTTAGAAACTATCATGATAGATGTCATCAGAGGGGCTTTTACAAGGTGTTGCATAATCTTAAACTTCTTTTCCTTCCCTTGAGGGCAAGCTTTTAGTCTTGGAGCACCTTTTGCATGTCTGTGAGTATATGCAGGCATGTGCCTATGCATAGAATTCTTTTCTTTTTAATAAAGTCTTTTTGAGGGAGCTGTGACAAGCAGTAGGAAAGTTTGTTCTGTCAAGAGCTAGAGTCTGTTCTTGAAGCAGATGTGTTCCCTTTGTGCCTGGTCTTTGCCTAAGGCTCCTGCCACATGTTATACTGAAGACGTGATTAACCAGTTAATCATGTCTTAAGTTGTGACCCAGCTACACATTAAAGCAATTAATGGCATTATAAAGCAAGGAATAAACCATAAAGTTATTCCACAAAAAATGTGTAATAACTTCATGGCTAGTTCCTATCATGACATTAATTGAACATGTGGCAGATGCACCCCTGTGTGTGGGGGTGTTTGTACAGGAGCCGGGAGGCTACTCTGATGCACTGTAATTACAGCGTGTCAGAGCAGACTCAATTAATCGAGTCTGCTGGAGTCTGGTAATTACCATGCTCCAGCCAGCCTCTGTCTCTCATGTATCAGTGTCCCTGCACTTCAAAATGGTGGTGGGGTACTTTAATACAGTACATTCAATGAGCTTTAGATAAAGCAGCTCTTTTTGGAGACACTCTAATT